CATCGAAAGCATAAAATATGACTTTTTAGAAATTTGGAATTTTCGGTCAAAATCAAAATAATTGGGTTTGACCGACAATTTGGAGGCCTTTGGGTTCAAATTTCAAAAAATGGACTGCGGAATCGGATTAGGAACGTCGAAAAATGTCAGGATAGGTATACTCTGTCAAAGTCAAAGGTCGTTTAATGCCCGGTCAAAGCCAGTCAAAGTTTTGGTCAACAGTGGTCAACGCTGGTCAACGATCAACGGTCAACGGGTCGGGTCGGGTTGTGACCGGTCAAACCGACTACTCCAAAACCGGTAAAACCGGTCATTTGTACCATCCCCACGCGCAGTGGCGGCGCGTGGGGGCGCATAGGGCCCCTTCCGGCTGCCTAAAAATCATGGGAAAATTCTTAAAAATTATTTTTGAGCGATTCCGAGATACTTACAAAGCTCGGTTCACAATTTTGAACGGCGGAGAGCTCGATTTCAAATAATAGGAAACTTTGACCACTTCACCTCCTCACGCGCTGCCATCGACGGAGACCAAGGATGACACCGGCGGACTCGGAACGATGCAAGTAACACGATGGTTCGGGAGGTGTCGTAAATGGATGCTCGGATCTTCGTGAATCGATGAAAAACAATTGAAATTGAGTTATTACCGACGATACTTCCGACTGAAATTAACGACGAATGGTGACGATTCACGATGAAGGTTTGAGGGGTTTTGTTCCTCGCTCGACAACGAACACGATGGTGGTTTTGGCTCGTCGATCGGAGGTCAGACGGCGAGTAGATCGGAGTTAAAAGAGGGGTTGAGGGGAAGAGGAAAACTGGAAACATACTAGAAACTGGGCACGTCAAATAGGGTTTATAATTCATCCCATAATAAAAATGGGTAAACCATGAGTTTAGTCACTGAACTTCCTGCACTTCTTAAAACGGTCTGCCAACTTTAAAATTTTACAATTTAATCCACTGTTTCTTTTAAAATACCAATTAAATCCACCATGTTATAATTTCTTAAATTTAGCCCCTAAATTGGGGTGTTACAATTATGATAATTTTACATTAATTACTAAAATTCCAACACTTAAACAAAATACCCAAATTATACTTGTTCATTTAAGAACTTGCAAACAAGTCCCCAAAGTTTTGGAACCTTTCGAATTCCACCATCTAACCATTAAAATGAATTCTTTTAGAATTCTTCTCAACATTTCCAATTTATTCAAAATGGTCTCTTTTCATTTAACTTCAATTCCAAGTATCCAAAAATATACTCAATATTTAAACCTTACTCTTCATCTTCTAATCCATTTCAACTTAAATTCTAAAATTTTCATATTAAGACAACTTGCATTACCTTTAAAGAATCAATATTCTGTATTGATATACACACTGTTATTTAATTCAGTTTCTTCCATTGAAAACTATACTCGAATACAAATCTATCCATATAAAGAACTCATTCTAATTCATTATGTACAATTTATGGTGAATTTTCAAAGTTAACCGACAAAATCTGTTTTGTGCAGAATTTACTGCCCGTTTTTCTGACCTTTCCTCAGTTAAAAATTCATATCTTTTTTATACACCTTGAAATTGATCCCCTTTTATTTAAAACAAAACAAGATTGATATAATAACACAATATATAAAAATCACCCCCAAATAATTTTTATAGAATTTCTGGTGTATTTTCAAACTGACAGATTCAAAATCTAAATTGTTTTCATTAACTTCATCCTTAGGTTCTTCATCAATTCTTAGAACCAATTCTTAAAATCACTTAACTCTTCATAACCTCTAAAACACAAGAAATCAACATTCCCTTTATCAACTCAAAATGAACTTGAACATAAACCATAGTGATATTCATGTCAAAACGTAGCGAATTGAATGTAGAACATTTTTCCTAACTACACCGAAGTCTAATTCTCAAGAAAATAGCTTTAAAAATCAAAATAAAAGTCCTTACCTTGTTAGGACTTGAACTTACGACCAAATGAAGGAAGAAGCTGATAATGCTCAATTCTCTTGAATTTTCTAATGTTAATTAGCCTTAACACATGGCTAAATAACATTAAAATGGAATTTTTTATTTAATTATTAAGAAATTTCATTTTTGCCATTAATGAAACTTAAAAATTATCAATTTCCAGCAAAATATTCCTTGGTCAAATATGAATTAATTTGACTTTGACTTTCGAAATTGTCATGTAATCTTCGTACAAAAAATCTGATTCCCACTCAAATCTATGTTTTAATCCAAACTGTTCATTTACATGCTAAAATATATAACTTTTAAAAATTATAATTTCGGTCCCTAAACTTCTCAAAATTTATACTTTAGCCACTAAACTTTCAAAACTTATATTTTTGTCACTGGTCAAAATTCGGGGTATTACATTTTAAGTATGGTTTTGCACTAAATGTGAACCACATGTTCCTATATCACTATATAATATATACTTAACTTTAATTCATACTTTTTACTAAAAATATATTCTCTTTTTTAATTTAAAAAAAATAGTTGACCATATTCTCATATATAATGGGGTAAGGGTTTTTGCACTAAATGTGAACCACATGTTCCTATATCACTATATAATATATACTTAACTTTAATTCATACTTTTTACTAAAAATATATTCTCTTTTTTAATTTAAAAAAAATAGTTGACCATATTCTCATATATAATGGGGTAAGGGAAGGAAGGATAGTAGGCTGCCCCCAACGCCAGATTGAGAGCAGCTTCCGTGGGAGACCTCCGACAGTCAGAATTATGAATTGCCCACCATGGGACTCGATCCCACGACCACAAGATTAAGAGCCTTAATTTTACATTTACTCAATTTGATTTTTTACAAATTATTTCTCCTCGTATTTTACCCTCAAAATTTTTTATTTGAAATATAGTATTATAAATATATTTAATAATTTTAAAATTTATTTAATTTATTAAATAACATTATAATGTGAAAAAAATGAAGAAACACACATATATTTTATATGATTAGAGAAACTCAAAAAATTAGAATTGATCTATACTATAATACTATAAATAATTATAATTAAATTAATATAGAACCCCGAACGACTCGACTAAAATAAAAAAATTAAGTTGAGTTTAATTCATACAATACGTTTTTTTATTTAAATAAATCCAAAATCTCTCATCACAATTATAAGTGTATAACCAACAATTTATTTTATTTTTCGAATAGTCTAGAGTAATTATAAAATAATATATGTTTAGAATATTTCTTAATTGTTGAAAACACATATCTTATAAATATAATTGTTCGAACTCAATAATACTATGTTTAACCAATGAGGGACCAATTGATAGATTCATCGTCCATTTTTTTAATTAATCATTAATATCTGATCTATTGACTGATAAATCCATATTTGGATTGTAGAGGCGAGGGTGACCCTCCCAACCGAGTTTGCTCCATTCACAAACGTCAGAATTCGAACCCTGACTTTGCTTAAGGGACCTAATGCTTTATCCCACTATACCAACTGGTTGTTGGTATTTATTTCTAAAATATAATAAAAACAACATATTAAATATAAAAATAATTAAATGATTTGTAATTGGTGCATGAAGATTGAAGTGATTGGCGGAAGCTTTTTTTCTTTTTTCTTTTGAAATTATGTTGTTGGTGATGTTGGGGAGAAGACTTTGATAGTTCTTGAATTTGGAAAAAGCTTATATTTAGTAATTGCTCACAGCGAAGCATGCAAAGAACGAGGAGATGAACACTAACTAGGGGTGTGCAAAATAATTTGATCCGACCGATTTGATCTGTTGATCCATTGATCCGATCTAAAAATTTGAATAACCGATCTGATTTTTAATTTTTGGATAGTTCGGATCGAGTATTAGAATTTTTTTTTGAATTTTCGGATCGGATACGGATCAATCAAAATTTAATTTCCGATTATCCGAAACCCGAAAAAAATTGGGCTATATTATTAGCCCAGAGCTATTTGGGTTATTATCTTGTTCTGTCATTTCCTTTTTTTTGCTTCTAGAGATGACAAGGCCGTTATTTGGAAGAAACCCAGAAATCATTCAAGTTTTACAGGGACATCCTTCGACTCATTTTGTCTTACTTCCTACCTGCTTCGTTTGCCGCGGTCTTCAAGGATCAAATACTAGCGCTACCCAAAAATGACATGTTATTCCCGATTAGATCATGTCCTTGAAAAACTTGAATAAATTTATGATACGTAATATCAATAAAATTTTCTGCCGGAAATACTTTCATATTCTCTGCCTGAATAGTTCTGCTTCGTTGTAAGTTCCGATAATTTAGACTCGTAATTATATTATACAACCTATGTTATATGGACTTTCCACAAATGTAGAGCATTGATATGTTCACAGAAGAAGCAAAAAGAGTTACAAAAGAAGATCCTGAAACATTCAGCTTACTTTTTTATCACACCAGTCATCAAATGTTCTCATAAATCCCACGAATAAAGCCAGGTATTCCGTAACAATTGCCACGTAAAATCTCCATTCTACCATGCAACAAAGAATGCACCAATTGTATCAAGCTGGAATTGCTAATGATGCCACAAGATTCGTCAACGGAACAGTAGAATACTATGCGATTAATTCACTGAAATATAACTCTACTAAGATTTATGATGGTGCCATCGTATTTCGTAGGACACATGATGATTGGTGCATTAGGGCATGAGAAGTGCGTATATCTTGGAATATATATAGAGTTCTTTACATTCATCAATCTTGGAATTAGTATTTAATTTCTTTTAATTTTTTATGAACAACTAAAAAAAGACGAGGGCATTAACATTGGTAGAAATAAAAATATTAATTTTAAAAATGGTAATATTACATATTTAATCAAATATATTTCGTTTGAGAATAAGATCATGATCCGTAACAAGTAATAGTAAATTACACTGTTAACTATCTGATTTAATTTCAAGGGTTTGGGTGGATAAGATAAATAAAAAAAATTAGAAAAAAGGAGAATTTTTTGTTCTAACAAAAATCAGATTCGGATCTGAATATTTGGACGATCCGAAATTTCGGATCAGATATCCGAAATTTCATAAATCCAAATGTTCGAATATCCGATTTTTTTGAATCGAATAATATCTGATATCCGATAATGCACACCCCTAACTAACAACACTATCGGCCAAAACTAGGGTTCCCATTTATTCTATCGCCCATCCAACTTATTTTAAGGCCTTCCCTTACTCTTTTTCAGACCTAAAACCAAATACCAAAAACGGCCTTATTCTTCCTTTTAAAGTGAGAAAAAGAAAGACAGCGCGAAGAGCTAAGGAGGTCATAAAGAGTTTCACTTGCCTTCTTTATCTCTCCTTCTCCATTAAAAATCACTTCTTTGAAGAGAGAGAGTTGGCGACATTAGAATTTTGTTTATCCTTTTGCCTTCTCTACGCTCTTTCGTTTATACTGACCTTGTTCGAAAGTTTGATAGATTATTTTAATGTATATTTTAGTCTGCAAAATTGGGTTTTATTTCTTGGGAGTTTCTAATTTACTATTTTCATACTCAAAGCAAAGAGTCAAAGACATGGCTTGGTAATGAAGCAAATCAGTCTCTAATGGGAGTTTAGTTACAGTCAAAGGTTGTAAATTTTCAGATAAAAATATTTGTTTTTTGTTTAAGAAAAAGGGAGTTTCTTTGATGAGTTTTGGGGGATTTTTCGATAACAGCCCCGGTGGAGGCTTTGGGTGTGCAAGGATTTTGGCCGACATCTCTTTTAGCAACAACATGCCTCACCTCGTCTCTCCTTCTCTTCCTAAGAACATATTCAACTCTCCAGGCCTCTCTCTTGCTCTCGTAATAACTACACTCTTAAAGAATGAAGTTGCTTGTTTGTTTTTCACTTAAGGGACTTATCTGGATTTTTTTGGGGTGGTGTTTGCAGCAGCAACCGAGTATAGATAATCGAAGAGATGGGGTTCGAACGAGTGAGAATTTTGAAGCAAGTTTTGGGAGAAGAAGTAGAGAAGAGGAACAAGAGAGCAGTCCTGGAAGTGATAACATCGATGGCGTTTCGGGTGATGATGAAGACGCCGCCGACAACCGACCGAGGAAGAAGAGATACCACCGGCACACTCCACAGCAAATCCAAGGTCTCGAAGCGTATGGTTTCACTTTCATGTTTTCGAACTGAAGTTTCTTTTTTAGTTGGTTCAAGGCCTTAAACAAAAGTTTTCCTTTTTTTCTTCTTCTTGGTTTTTGGTTTAGTCTCTTTAAGCAGTGCCCTCATCCCGATGAGAAACAACGATTGGAGCTTAGCAAAAAGCTTTGCTTAGAAACCAGACAGGTCAAGTTTTGGTTCCAAAATCGCCGTACACAAATGAAGGTATCAACAAGAATCAAACCATTGTATCTTTTATTTTCTTTTTTTGCTTAACTTGGTCTTTTTTTTTTAATTCAAGACTCAATTGGAACGCCATGAGAACTCATTGTTGAGGCAAGAGAATGACAAGCTTCGAGCTGAGAACATGTCTATTAGGGATGCTAGGAAAACTCGATTTGCGTCAACTTGATGCTGAACTGTCATATTATACTTTGATGGCGCTGAGATACCATGAATTGACAGATCAACGTAAAGACGGGAATTGATTGTGACATGTTTCTTATTGGGATCGTTTTGAGTATGTTTTAGTTTTTTAGCTATAACTTTGGCTACATGTGTCAGAATCGCTCATAAGATCATAATTTGAAAAGTTTTTTTCGACGCTCACGCTCTACACATTGAGTTACGCTCCATGTGATCTTTTTCTTCAACCTCAAATTCTGTCGTTTTTCCCTCCGAATCATTAAATTTAGATATTTTTTTTACTTTTAAGGTAATATTTCGATTGTCAATTAGGATGTCAATTTAAATCCGATTTAGGTTGAATTTTTTATAAATTGCTTATTTTACGTCGAATTTCAATTTAGAGTAATTTTTGAGATTTTGCTATTTTTGACAAAATTCGAATAAATATGATTTTTGGCTATAACAGTCCGGCTTGTGAACTAATTTTAGGCATTGTTTGATTTTATAATATTTTATTAAATCCTATAGATTTTTTTCTCTGATTTTTTGGGTGAATTTTTCCTTGTGAATCATCTGTTGGAGCGTCTGCAGGATAATCATTATTCTGGCTGGCGTCAGTTGGTGTCAGAGCTTCAACATCTTCCTGAGAAATTTCACCAGTTTCAATTGTTGGAGGTCGTGGTCGTGGTCGTCGTGAGCAGGTTCCGAATGAGGAAGCCCAACGCCGTGATCGCATCGTTCAGGATGTGATGATTGCGGATTTGCAGAGGCAAGTCCCAGAATTAACCCAGCGCCTGGCGGCGCAAAACTTCGAGAATCGTGAGGTCTCTGATCACGATACCAATTCCACTTTCGAAAACCCATATCATAATTGTGTTCTATTCCGGGAGCACCGTGGTCGGGAGGAGCGTCATAGATACCTCAGTTTTCGGGTCGATCTCCCTGAGTTTTCTGGTACGCTACAGGCCGAGAGATTCGTGGATTGGATTAATGAAGAGCGTATTTTTGAATTTAAAGAAGTCCCCGATCGTGTGAAAGTGAAACTGATCGTCATCAAACTCAAGGGCAGAGCATTTGCGTGGTGGGAACAGTTGCGACGTTCACGAGAAAGACAAGGCAAGGCCAAGATCATTGATTGGGAGAATATGAAGGGTCACTTCCTTACCTTCGGCTACACGTAAACCTTATTTCAGCGACTTCATGCGTTGAGGCAGGGCGCACGATCAGTCGATGATTATACGGAGGAGTTTTACCAATTGGTCGCCCGGAACGATTTATCTGAGACGGAGGAGCAAATGGTGGCGCAGTATTTGAGGGGTTTACGCCAGCCCTTACAAGATGTCCTTAGCCTTCATTCATTGTGGAGTGTTTCAGAAGCTTACCAGCGTGCACTTGCTGTTGAAAAACAACAAAATAGGAGACCAGTGATCAGGAACGATCACAACAGTCGGCTAGTTCGTCCTCAGGATTCTCGTCCTGCTCAACAGCCACCGTAGGGTAATTCTAACCCTACTATTAGATGTTTTCGTTGTGGTGAACAAGTGCATAGGGCGACTGATTGCAGGAAGCCTGCTAGTCAAAAGGGCAAAAATTTGTTGATTGAGGAAAACGCGGAAGACGAGATGGAGGAGATTGGCGAACCCGTGTATGACGATGATGAGACTGATGATGTACTGTATGGAGATGATCATGAGACTCTGGTCGTTCGCAAGAGTCTACTTACTCCCAAGGACGATTCAGGGGACGATTGGTTGAGAACCAATATTTTTCACACGACCTGCACAGTTACAAATAAAGTCTGTAAAATGATCATTGACAGTGGCAGTTGTGAGAATGTAGTGTCCGAGGAGGTTGTCCAGAAATTGCAGTTGAAGACGGACCGTCATCCTAAGCCATACAAGTTGTAATGGCTAAATAAAGGCAGTGAGGTAACAGTTGATAGGCGATGCCTCGTGTCTTTTTCAATTGGTAGAAAATATTTTGATAATGCCTGGTGTGATGTTGTGTCCATGGATGCGCGTCATATATTGTTGGGCCGACCCTGGCAGTATGATCGCAGTGTCATTCATGATGGACGGAAGAATATATATTCCCTTAGCATCAATGGAAAAAAGATTGTGTTGGCACCCCGGCAGGTAGGACTCACTCCTACCCCAGTAACAAATAATACTACTCTGCTTTCTATGTCCAGGTTTTTAGATGAGATTGAGCATGGCGACATGGTCTATGTCTTACTACCTTGCGAGAACAATGCAGTAGACGTGGATGCAGATTTACCAGTAGAGGTGCAGCGGCTGCTAGCAGAATTCTCTAACTTGATGCCAAAAGATCTTCCTCTTGGGCTACCACCTATGAGTGATATTCAGTATCAAATTGACCTTGTTCCTGGGTCAAGTTTGCCAAATCAACCAGCATATCGCCTCAGTCCCAAGGAGGCTGAAGACTTGTAGCGACAGGTGGAAGAGTTGTTGGAGAGGGGCTATATCCGAGAGAGTATGAGCCCATGTGCAGTCCTTGCTCTACTAGTGCCAAAGAAAGATGGTTCTTGGCGTATGTGTGTTGACAGCCGAGTGATCAACAGAATTACAGTGAAGTACCGGTTTTCAATTCCCCGTCTAGATGATATGTTGGATCAGCTATCTGGTTCTAAGGTCTTCTCAAAAATTGACCTTAAGAGCGATTACCACTAAATTAGAATAAGACCTGGAGATGAGTGGAATACGGCGTTTAAAACGCCACAAGGGTTGTATGAGTGGATGGTCATGCCTTTCGGGCTATCCAATGCGCCTAGTACGTTCATGAGATTTATGCATCAGGTCTTGAGGCCTTTTATGGGAAAATTTGTTGTAGTTTACTTCGATGATATCCTTGTTTATAGTCCAACATGGACTTCACACTTTGATCACATCCGTGTTGTTTTTGAGATGCTGAAAACGGAGTGCTTGTTTGTCAATCAAAAGAAGTGTTATTTCTTCACTACTTCTGTGACTTTTCTTGGTTTTGTTGTGTCTACTGATGGTGTTCATGCAGATCAGTCAAATGTAGATGCAGCCTTGGAGTGGCCCAGACCAAGGACCTTACATGACATCCGAAGTTTCCATGGCTTGACGTCTTTTTACCGCCGATTCATTAGAAATTTCAGTACTCTGATCGTCCTTATCACAGAGTGCCTCAAGGGGCGTGATTTCCAGTGGTCTGAGGAGGCAGAGGCCAGTTTTCAACTGGTCAAGCAGAAGATGACCGAGGCTCCAGTTTTGGCACTTCTAGATTTTGACAAAGTGTTCGAGGTAAATTGTGATGCATCTGGCATTGGCATTGGTGGTGTTCTGAGTCAGGTAGGTCGTCCGGTTGCTTTTTTCAGTGAAAAACTATCGGGATCAAAGAAAAATTATTCCACTTATGATCTGGAGTTTTATGCCATAGTTCAGTCCCTGAAGCATTGACGTCACTACCTAGTACAGAAGGAGTTTATTCTGTTTACCGATCATGAGGCCTTGAAGTACATCAATGACCAACACAAGCTGAGTAGACGTCATGCCAAGTGGGTGGCATACTTGCAAGAATTCACTTTTACGCTGAGGCACCAAGCAGGGAGTTTGAACCGCGTCGCAGATGCCCTGAGCCGTCGTACCTTACTTCTTACCACCATGAGTACTAAAGTTGCAGGCTTTGAGACGTTCACAGATATGTATGCAGTTGATCCTTCCTTTGGAAGGATATTTCAGGAGGTAACTGAGGGTCACCGTCATGATTTTGTTTTGCATAATGGGTATCTGTTTCGTGGATTACAGTTATGCATTCTAGATTGTTCATTGAGGCAGCAAATTATAAGTGAACTCCATAATGAGGGACACTTTGGCCGAGATAAGACCTTGGCCCTTATATCTTTGACTTTTATTGGCCCAAGTTGACCAATGATGTGGCCCATTGTGGACCGTTGTTATGTGTGCCAGCGGTCTAAGGGAGTTCTCACCAATGTGGGCTTGTACACTCCCTTACCTGTTCCTGAAGCTCCTTGGTTCGATGTCAGCATGGATTTTGTAGTAGGCTTACCCGCACCCAAAGGGCCTTAGATTCTATATTTGTTGTGGTTGACAAGTTTTCCAAGATGGCTCATTGTAGCTTGCAGAAGACTATGGATGCTGACCGGATTGCCCATCTCTATTTCAATGAGATTGTGCGTTTACATGGTGTTCCTCGATCCATCACTTCAGATTGTGATACTAAGTTCATCAGTCATTTCTGGAAGAGCCTGTGGGGGAAACTGGGAACGCAGTTGAATTTCAGTAGCACCTACCACTCCCAAACGAATGGCCAGACCGAGGTGGTGAACCGAAGTTTGGGAAACCTTTTGAGGTGTTTGGTAGGAACGAAGCCGAAGTAGTGGGATTTGGCATTGCCTCAGGTAGAATTTGCCTACAACAGATCAAAAAACAGAACCATAAGTTTAAACCCATTTGAGATTGTCTATGGTCAGAACCAATCCGGGGTGCTGGACTTACCTATTCCACGTATAGGTCGTTTCAGTCCTAAAGCAGATGAGATGACAAATTATCTTCGGGGTATCCATGAGCAGGTGAAACAGACCATTCATGAGAGCAATACCAAGTACAAGACTCGGGTCGACAATCATCGTCGTCAGGTACTTTTTGATGTTGGTGATTTTGTTTGGGCTGTATTAACTCGTGATCGTTTTCCTGTTGGTGAGTATAATAAGCTTAAGGATCGGAAGATTGGACCTTGTGAGGTCGTGCAGAAGATCAATGATAATGCTTACATGTTGCGCCTTCTCAGCCACTTGAAGACTTCTGATGTCTTTAATGTGAATCACCTAAGTCATTGTTTTGTGGATTCTGATGACACTACTCTGAACTCGAGGACGAGTTCTTTCCAACTCGGGGTGACTGATGCGGGGGGATCCGAGACAGATGATGCTGAGCTGTCAGATTGCACCTTGATGACGCTGAGATACCATGAATTGGCATATCAGCGCAAAGACGGGAATTGATTGTGACATGTTCCTCATTGGGGTCGTTTTGAGTATGTTTCAGTATTTTGGTCATAATTTTGGCTACAAGTAGGGGTGTGCATTATCGGATATCGGATATTATCCGATCTGAATTTTCGGATATCCGAAAATTTTGGATACCTAAAGTAATGATCCGTATCCGATCCGAAAAAATCGGATATCCGAACATTCGGATATCCGAAATTTCGGATCGGATATCCAAATATTCGGATCCGAATCCGATTTTTGTTAGAACAAAAAATTCTCCTTTTTCTAATTTTTTTATTTATCTTATCCACCTAAACCCTTGAAATTAAATCAGATAGTTAACAGGGTAATTTACTATTACTTGTTACGGGATCATGATCTTATTCACAAACGAAATATATTTGATTAAATATGTAATATTACCATTTTTAAAATTAATATTTTTATTTCTACCAATGTTAATGCCCTCGTCTTATTTTAGTTGTTCATAAAAAATTAACAGAAATTAAATACTAATTCCAAGATTGATGAATGTAAAGAACTCTATATATATTCTAAGATATACGCACTTCTCATGCCCTAATGCACCAATCATCATGTGTCCTACGAAATACGATGGCACCATCATAAATCTTGGTAGAGTTATATTTCAGTGAATTAATCGCATAGTATTCCACTGTTCCGTTGACGAATCCTGTGGCATCATTAGCAATTCCAGCTTGATACAGTTGGTGCATTCTTTGTTGCATGGTAGAATGGAGATTTTACGTGGCAATTGTTATGGAATACCTGGCTTTATTCGCGGGATTTATGAGAACATTTGATGACTGATGTGATAAAAAAGTAAGCTGAATGGTTTAGGATCTTCTTTTGTAACTCTTTTTGCTTCTTCTGTGAACATATCAATGCTCTACATTTGTGGAAAGTCCATATAACATAGGCTGTATAATATAATTACGAGTCTAAATTATCGGAACTTACAACGAAACAAAACTATTCAGGCAGAGAATATGAAAGCATTTACGGCAGATAATTTTATTGATATTACGTATTATAAATTTATTCAAGTTTTTCAAGGACATGGTCTAATCGGGAATAACATGTCATTTTTGGGTAGCGCTAGTATTTGATCCTTGAAGACCGCGGCAAACGAAGCAGGTAGGAATTAGGACAAAATGAGTCGAAGGATGTCCCTGTAAAACTTGAATGATTTATGGGTTTCTTCCAAACAACGGCCTTGTATCTCTAGAAGCAAAAAAAGGAAATGGCCCAATTTTTTTCGGGTTTTCGGATAATCTGAAATTAAATTTTGATTGATCCGTATCCGATCCGAAAATCCAAAAAAAATTCGGATACCCGATCCGAACTATCCGAAAATTGAAAATCGGATCGGTTATTCGAATTTTCGGATCAACGGATCGGATCGGTCGGATCGTGCATAAGACCTCAATCCAGAAAGCTCTTTTCGACGCGCACGCTCTCCACACTGAGCTACGCTCCGTGTGATCTTTTTTTCAACCTCAAATTCTGCCGTTTTCCCCTCCGAATCACTAGATTTAGATATTTTTTACTATTTATGGTAATATTTCGATTGTCAATTAGGAAATCAATTTAAATCTGATTTAGGCCGGATTTTTTGGAGATTGCTTATTTTATGTCGAATTTCAATTTAGAGTGATTTTCGGGATTTTGCTATTTTTGGCAAAGTTCGAATAAAGACGATTTTTGGCTATAACAGTCCGGCTTGTGGACTGATTTTAGGCATTGTTTGATTTTATAATATTTTATTAAACCCTAGAGACTTTTTTATGATAATCATTATTCTGTCCGACGTCACAACTACGGCGGTCCGGCAATTATCGGCGACATATCTCTCGAAGAGCAACATCTTAGAATCGAAAACGCTTGTTTGAAGGGCGAGTTAGATCGAGTTTGTGCACTCGCCGGCAAGTTTTTAGGGCGACCTATTTCATCACTAGTCACTTCAATTGCACCTCCAATGCCAAACTCGAATCTGGATCTCGGAGTTGGTAGCAATGACTTTGCTGGTTTAAGCACCGTGGCTACAACATTGCCTTTGGGTCCGGTTTTTAGTGGTGTGGTTACGAATTCATTGCCGGTGGTTCCACCGACAACAACCGGACTCGACCGATCCGTCGAAAGATCCGTGCTTTTGGAACTGGCATTGGATGCGATGGATGAATTGGTTAAGATGGCTCAGACTGGTGAACCACTTTGGATTAAGAGCTTGGAAGGTGGAAGAGAAATACTAAACCATTATGAATACACAAAAACATTCTCCCCTTGCATCGGCATTAAACCCACCGGGTTCGTCTCCGAGGCATCCAGAGAGATGGGGATGGTGATTATCAACAGTTTGGCCCTTGTTGAAACCTTGATGGACGCGGTAAACTAACTACATATATCCCTAAAATTGCTCAGTTTCGCTTGAATTCATGGGCTTTTTTTTAATTCATTTCTGAATTTTTGCTTGCACCTATATAGAATCGTTGGGCGGAGATGTTTCCTTGTATGATTGCCAGAACATCTACTACTGATGTGATATCTAGTGGCATGGGAGGAACCATAAATGGTGCAATTCAACGGGTAAGTAAGCTCAAAGTTTCAAGCTTTATTTTTATTTTTCGCATCACCATATTCGCTCAATTATTTCTTTCCTTCCAGATGCTTGCTGAGCTGCAAGTACTTTCTCCTTTGGTCCCAGTCCGTGAGGTCAATCTCCTAAGGTTCTGCAAGCAGCATGCCGAGGGAGTTTGAGCGGTGGTCGACGTATCTGTCGACACCGTCCGAGAAACTTCGGGTGCACCGACAACATTCGTAAACTGCCGGAGACTTCCTTCCGGTTGTGTTGTGCAAGATGTGCCTAATGGATACTCTAAGGTAACTTTTTTTTGTTATATAGAAAAAAACATTTAAGAATCCGAAGCTTCCTACAAATTCAAAAGGGAGTGTCTTTACTTCATTCATATGCTCAATGCTTCTTCTTACAGTCAAAAATATTGTCTAAATTTCAAGTTTCAAAAACTGGGTTTTTGCTTAAACACTATTAAAATAACCCCCCATTTGAACAATTCGAGATTACTCCACTCACTGCCATTAATTTTATATCAATGGAAGCCTCTAATTACTCTTTAATTTTTGTGCCCTTTGAACACTTTAATTTCATATAAATCCCATTGTGAATAAACTATTGTTTGATGTTTCTATTCCAATCCTTTTGCCTGGGTTCTCCCATAGGACCCTTTAGGCATTTTAATCAAGAAAACGAAACTCAAAGCATCGACCAGCTCCCCTTGTTTGTATCTTAATCTTTGAGCCGACATCAGTACAATCAGCTCCATGTCACAATAACAGATGTTATTTTCTTTCATAGAGTTGATCCCAAAGCATTCATCCTTTTATATTATTAAAATAAAAATCGTTTGTCAATAACGATGTTTTACAATATTATACTCAGGCCTGGCTAGTGATAATTGAATGTTATCAACAAGTACATTTTTTCTTATTTATTTATGGGAAATTTGAGATCTTTCGTTAGTATCAATGATTGTAGTGTAACATTGGCAAAATTCTGCATGGAATAAGCCTGTGACGATTGATACTGAAAAATTGCAGGTTACGTGGGTTGAACATGCAGAATACGACGAGAGCCTAATTCACCAACTCTATCGCCCTTTACTAAGCTCCGGCATGGCGTTTGGTGCCCAACGTTGGGTCGCCACCCTTCAACGCCAATGTGAATGTCTTGCTATCCTCATGTCCTCCACTGTTCATACCGGAGACCATACTTGTAACCCATAACCCTAAGAAGAGGAATATATAAAATATAATTTCATTTCATTGTATTTATTTATTTATTTATTTTGTAGCTATAACTTCAAGTGGGAGGCGAAGCATGTTAAAGCTAGCGCAGAGAATGACTGATAATTTCTGTGCCGGTGTGTGTGCATCGACGGTTCACAAATGGAATAAGCTAAACGCCGGGAACGTTGACGAAGACGTTAGGGTCATGACTAGGAAGAGTGTCGACGATCCCGGCGAGCCGTCGGGGATTGTGCTGAGCGCCGCTACTTCGGTGTGGTTACCGGTGTCACCTCAAAGACTGTTCGATTTCCTGCGTAATGAAGGGCTGAGGAGCGAGTGGGACATTCTGTCCAACGGTGGTCCCATGCAAGAGATTTCCCACATCGCCAAAGGCCAAGATCAAGGCAATTGCGTCTCCCTCCTCCGCTCCAACGTATGTATACTCATCATTATTATTATATTTTCCACATCGAAAAATGAAATAAAAACAAAAGAAAATGAGATGAGATGATCGCAGGAGTAGGTCGGATAGGAAAAAAGGTGAGTCGGAAAGGACGAGTGTGGAATTTGGAAGTATCTATGAGGACAGTTCGATGGCAGTGATTTGAAATAAGCTTTTTTTAAAAAGTCAAAAGTATAGGACGTTTCTTATCTTTCTAGCTTTTTCAATTATTATTATGAATAAAGTTTTCGACTTCTCATTTTGACTCTTCTTTATAATTATCTGACACTTCGGGACCAAATTATTTTCTCGAGAAAATTCTTTATTATTATTTTTTGTATTTGGTGTGCAGGCCATGAACGCAAACCAGAGTAGCATGTTGATACTACAGGAGACATGCACAGACGCGGCGGGTTCGCTTGTTGTGTACGCGCCCGTTGACATTCCGGCCATGAATCTCGTTATGAACGGTGGTGATTCAGCTTACGTGGCGTTACTCCCTTCCGGTTTTGCTGTCATCCCTGATGGTCCAGGATCTCGTGGGCCCGTCTCTGATGGACATATTAGCGGGAATGGCGGAGAGTCCCAGAGGGTGAGTGGGTCCCTTCTCACGGTTGCTTTTCAGATACTGGTCAACAGTTTACCGATAGCCAAGCTTACGCTGGAGTCGGTGGAAACGGTCAATAATCTCATCTCCTGCACCGTACAAAAGATCAAAGCCGCCCTTCAATACGAAAGCTGATTGCAGTTTCTTTTGACAGTTTTATTAATTTAACGTGTAGTATTTAGTTGTATTTTGTGAGAAACAAGTGTGACTCAGTGAGTTGAGGGGTGTTGAGTTAAGAACAAACCTCTAATTGGAGGCACCTTGCATGGTTGACTGAGTCGGTGCGGCACATGGCAAGGGTGGTGGTTCGGGTATTGACTCATGTCGACCCTTTAGTTATGGGTGGAAAAGAAGGTCGAAACCCATTTGTCACTTTTCCTTCAAGGATTTGGGGGTTTTATTTTTCTAATGAATGTATTCATTTCATTACTTTGAAAGTTTCCAATGTCGTACTTTCCATTAACACAGTTGGTGGCGATCGAGCACGTAGAACAACGCGCAGCCGATGAAAGTGAGATTGGGGAAGTGGGAGTGACGTGCATGGGCAATGAATAAATAAGCTGTTGGTAGAAAAGCGTTGCTTTCATTTACTGCATTGTGTAGGGGATTACGTGGAGAAGTGAATAAAGCAGAGCCACGTCGGTATTAGAAGGTGAAAAGGAAAGGGGTTGCTTTGGATTATAATGCAAGGGATCTGTATGCTTGATTGCTTAGCTGCTCAAATCTTTGACATTAGTTTGTTCATGAAAAAACGTGAGCAGAGAAGTTATGTGTAATAGATCGTACTGTGCTCGAACGAATCCATTTATCAATAAATTAAATTTTAATAAATATATAAAAAGTATATGGAGTGACATTGTAAGTGTACTAACTTCGATTGAGCAAAGAAAAATCCCTTAACCAAGTACAAAAAAAATCCCCTAACTTGTGTTGTCACTGAAATGACTTGGTTAAGTGCATTATTAACTGACATGAGGGTTAAGCAATTAATATATTTTGAGGATGTACTTAAAAAAATTTAAATTTAGAGGTTTAAATTAAATTTTTATTTTTTTGAATGATTCAATTTACAATTTTTAATAAAATTGGAGTCTAATTAAAATTTTAAGAAACTTGATGAGAATTTTTAAAAGTTACAAAAAGGATTTAATTAATAACATTTAAAAGATTTTAAAACTTAATCTGAATTTTTAAAAATTTTGTGGAGACCGAATTAATTTTTTAAAAAGTTTTAAAGGGTTAAATTAATTTTTTAAATTTTTAGGAGACTATGACCTTGACATATCTCTATTGTGTTTCCCCTCGGTGGAATGACAACATATAAATCTAATTTTTTATGATCGTTTAAAACATTTGAATTTTGATATTTAGAGGAAAAAGTTATTAATAAATTAATGTCTTCGAAATAATTATATTCTAGCTCAACATCAAATAACTGATGGGTTAAGAAAACCACTCGTATGTATATTTCACACTATTTTGAGATGAGTTTAATGTTGGATCAATTGAAGAGATACAAGTAGTAGAAAAGTGGAAGATGACAATAATTAAATATACTAATTTTTAATAAAAATATATATGTACAAATCATAGACCGTCAATAATTTCAAACATAAAATTTGATACACGTGAAGATGACAAAAAAAGTGAGGAAAATGAAATGAAAGCAGTAGCATTGGAGATATTGGAAAACAGCCTTTTTGGAGTTCTCAATCACTCAATCTCCCCTTTCACATATCACTGATTAGCCCCACAATTTTCCAATCCTCACACCCTTTGCCGTGACTGTACCCTCCCAAAGGACCCATCCCCACTCCCTCACATCGATAAAATTGATGAGATAATGCTTTCAAAATAAAAAAATCACGAGATAATGCAGTTGAATGATTAATTGGGCGCCAACTGTTCCAGGCCCATGCGTGGATGTAGGTCGCCAAATGTTTTGGGCAACCATGTACTGTGTTAAAAATTTTAACCAATTTTGGGAGTATTTTAATATGAAAAACTAATTCCTTTACGATGAGTAAACCAACTCAAAAGAGGATTGATTATAATTCCTTTGGCTTGTGAATTGAGGAATTAATTAATGATAACTTTGGATAGAGAATGTAGGTTTTGGTGTGGTTGAAAAATGAGATATGTGGCAAACACAAAAATATACTATAAACTGAAAAAGAGTGTATTTGTGTCCTTACTAATAATGATTTAATAATTATTATTAATTTAATGATTTGATATTTAATTATTTAATAATGATTACTAATAATTATTTATTATAAATATTTAATGATTTAGATTTGATACTAATAATTTAGTAATGATCACTAATAATAAAATTATAAGATTTGATAATAATGTTTTAATAATGATTACTATTAATTTTAAACAAATAACAAATGAGTTTATAATTGTTGTCGATGCCGGTTGCATCACGCATTTGATGACTCTACTCTCCTGGCATACGTACTAGAGTTTGTGCAGCCTCAGGCACCTATCTATTTTCCAATGTTTGAGTTGAAGTATGACTTTGATCAAATGACATATATGATGTCAAATACTACTATTTGTCAGCCATCGTTTTCAAGTGGGATGGAAGAGCAAACTGGTGGAATGGTAGAGCATAGTGGTTGAAAATATTTACAACACCAGTTGAAATGCTCCCAATGAATGAGGAGGATGGGTACCATACTCATGAGCAACCGCAACCACCACAACGCATCAGATGTCTGCTCCAACATTATCATTCAACAACACCCCGACATCGACAACAATTATAAACTAATTTTTTATATGTTTAAAATTAGTAGTAATCATTATTAAAACATTCTTATCAAATCATTCACTGGTAACCTGAAGCAGGATCGTTGCATCGTGCATCTGATGACTCTATTGTCCTGGCATACGTACCAGAGTTTATATAGCCTCAGGCACCCATCTACTCTCCCATATTTGAGTCGACGTATGACTTTGACCAAATGACATCTATGATGCCAAATACCAGTATTTGTCATTCATCGTTTCCAAGTGGGATGGAAGAGCAAACTGGTGGAATGACAGAATATAATGGTTGGAATATATTTACAACACCAGTTGAAATGCCCCCAATGAATGAGGAGGATGGGTACCATACTCCTGAGCAACCGCAATGACCACAACGCATCAGACTTCCGTCCCGACATTATAATTCAACAACACCCCGTCATCGACAACAATTATAAACTCATTTGTTATTTGTTTAAAATTAGTAGTAATCATTATTAAAACATTATTATCAAATTATTATCAAATCTTATAATTTTATTATTAGTGATCATTACTAAATCATTAGTGTCAAATCCAAATCATTAAATATTTATAATAAATAATTATTAGTAATCATTGCTAAATCATTTCATTACTAAATCATTAAATATCAAATCATTAAATTAATAATAAATTATTAAATTATTATTGATAAGGACATAAATACACCAATTTTAAGTTTATAATATATTTTTGTGTTTGCAACAAATCCTCATATTTTTCAACCACATCGAAACCAATGTTCTCTATCCAAAGTCATCATTAATTAATTCCTCAATTCACAAGCCAAGGGAATTATAATCAATCCTCTTTTGAGTTGGTTTCCTCAACGTAAAGGAATTTGTTTTTCCTATTAAAATACTCCCAAAGTTGGCTAAAATTTGCAGCAACGCAGTGCATGGTCGCTCAGAACACTTGGCGACCTACATCCACGCATGGAGAACATGGCGACCTGCACAGATTGTCCGAAACATCTGGCGACCAATTGTTGAAATCACCCTATCTCAACAATTAATCCTTCAACTGCATTATCTCGTGATTTTTATTTATTTTGAAAGCATTATCTCGTCAATTTTTCCCCTCACATGCTTGTCGGGTACTAATATCAATTTTCGTATATTATTTTTTATGTAAAGTTTTATGTTAAAAGAGATAAAATTTTAAAATGGTAAAAAAATGAAATTATAAAATTTTAAAGGTAAAAATAAATTAATAAAAAAAAATTAAAATATATGATAATTTAAAATTTTTAAAGAGAGACTATCTTCGACTACTTTCTTTCAATGCATCTCTGACTTTTCCTTTTTAATATTTATTAACGTGTATATATACAATTTTATATTGATTCTATTCATAAATCGGATTTATTTTATATATATTATTATATTTCTTCGAAATTGACCTAAATCGAAATATATTATCACGAACCATAGATTTAGATCTGCGACAAGTCCGCAAAAGAGATTTTGTGCAAAGTATTGGCTTGTCCAGGCCACTAGACTTGGCTGGATCCTTGATGGATGAAGCATATTCCATTTAATTTAAGATAAGTAAAGGGATAATGTGGAGGTAATATTTAATTTAAATTCGAATTCCTTATATTTAAGATAATATAAGGTGTTTGTTAGATGAGACTTTATCTCAACCGATATAATTTAATTTAAGCTATTAGATCTAGGGGAATTCAACTATAAACATAGGTTTCATCACCTCATTTGTAATTACTTTAGTTATTTCATCCCATCCCATTCTTTTATAGTAATAAAACTCGTATATTTAATTTAAGTTTCTCTCTTGTCGCTTTGTTTCTAGTTTTTCAATCTCATTGTGTGGTCTCTCCTAGTGGCTTATATAACCCTAATAGTATTTACACTTTCGCATATTGTTCAACGTTGGGAGGGCATGTTCGTTTCTTGGTGAGCTAGAGTTCTCACAAGGACGTGATGAATACCCACTCATTTAACCGAGAAAGTATCTAAGACCATATAGAGTAACTAGTCAAAACTCTAATTACAAAATTCATAAGCTCGGCCCAAATTATAAGAGAAAATGAAAATGAGCTAAACTGACCTATTTACGAGAGAGATCTTTTAATTTAGACAAATAGTTAAAACTTAAAATGAATCAAATTGATGTTACATAAAAGCCTGCTTAAATCGATTCAATAGTACAATTAATTGGGTTTGATGTTTGACAATAATATAATAAAAAGATCCGACATGTTTTCCACATAAGAAACCTTTCCAAATCAATAATCGACTTTCTTCGGCATTCAATCATTGATACGTTGAAAATATATTTAATTCCAATCCCAAAATTCAATTCCATTAAGTTTTTCATCTTCAATTAAAAAAAAGAATAAAGGGTTTGATGAGTGCTTATGTCCTTTAGCCACAGTTTAAACAACGTTGGTGGGACATGGTGGAGGAGAGAAGAAATAGAAAATAGATTGGGATTAGGTACCAATTCGATCATGTCGATTTTCAATTTTTAAATTCGGGTTGAGTGGAATTTTTTGAGGATGAGTCGAGTTTAGGTTTAGAGTAAAAAAATTCATTTCGGTTCGATGTAGTTTATAATCATTCCTTGTACATTTAGAGATAATTCTAATAATATCTTATTTTATTTATTTCATTTAGATTCGTCTTTTACCTAATAATAAATTTATACATATAAATCATTGTAGATTTTGACTTAGAAAATCAGATCGAATGAGATCCTTCTAAACCTTGGGTCAGATGTGGGTAGAGAAGTTTAATTTTCGGATTAAGTTCGGGTAAACCCAAAACTCAATCCGATTTAACTTATGATCATCTTTAATTTGAAATACCTAGGAGATATAATATTTAAATATTATAGGTCAAATTTCTTAGTTTTATTATTGAATTAAAATTAAAGAAAAAATTATTTTTAAGTCAGTTTGGGCCATGTTTAATAAAAGTTATAAATGTCCTACTACTACACCAGAAGTTATTGTTGATAAAACTTTATGTATATAATTTAATACCACAAGTGTGATAAGATTTAGAAATTAAATAAAACATTTTGTCCATTTGAGAATTGAAACCCCATATTTTGATCAAATATCACCATACACGCATATACTTAATATCGTTCTACATTTAAATATAAATGCGTGCTGGAGTAATTAGTGTGTGATACTATTAAACAAACGAATAAAATTCAATTTATAAAAAGAAGAAAAAGCACAGGGATTTATAGAGTAATTTATTCCATTTTGATCAGCCTCACAAATGGGTAAAAACAAAGTACACAAAACACTTCGTTTTGTTTTGCTTCATTTATTCATTATACTAAACAAACACACAACACGAACTTGGCTGATCAAACCTTCACCCATCTTCCACTTGCTTACTTCTTCTGTTTCTTGGCCTTTCCCATGCTGCCGCTGCAATCTTCGTTCGGAGCTGCCTTCCTCTCCAACTTCATTTTGCTGGAGGCAGATTGCTTCCCGAACTCTGCCGGACTCATCTCATCCAGAAGGTTGATTGGAGCAATTTCAGGCAATTCGAATGTCGAGTCATCGGAATCCAAGCTTTTCTCGCCTGCATATGTCAAAGAGGACATAAGAAGGCAGCCCGAATAGGAGCATTGTATAATCATTTTGAACCAACTTTTTAAAAGAACAGTGATCAGCATTATGCAGGAAGAATGTAGAATCAACAAAATATTTTCATCATATTATTGTTTAAATACACATTGGGATTAATTGCAACGTAATTCCATGAAGTGAAAGCAGTATTAATAGCCAGGTTATGCGCCAGAGTCGATAAAAAAGAAGAAGAATAGCGACATTAGATTAGTAAGCAGAACAAAGAAGAATCAAGTTTTGAACTTACTAGGTTCTGGCCTGCTAGCTCTTTTATTTGACCTGCGGGAAGGTTTCAGGGGACGAAAATCCTGCAACGTAGGATTAATGCATAAGGAAACAAATCCAAACAAAAATAAACTTCAATTACAATTTGTATGAAAGGAAAAAAAAATGATTATTTACGCGAATTGGCAGAGACATAGAGAAAAATTAACATAGGGATCAGGAGCCATTAATGGATACTCAGATTTCGGAAGAAAAAGACAGAAATTAGGAAAATATTCAGCAAGGGTTACATACTATGAAGGTTTGTGGTGAAAAATCTTAAATCAAATCTGAAGTGAGAACATAACAATATCAGAAAATCTTCAAACGAAACAGAAGCAAAATCACAGATCAAGGCCTGAATGATCTTTTAAACACCAAGGATTATTGTCTCATAAATCATATGTTGCATCCACTTTGGTTGGGAACCTAAAATTCATATTCAACCCACAGTAACCATCTATGTTGCTTCAACTCACATTCTCCAATGCAAATTTAGATCTGGTAGGGGATATGATTCTCCAAATACACTCCAAATATTTAAAAACACTTACAAAATTTAACATGAGTATGCAAGACACATACCTATATAAGACTCGTTGATGAATAAAAGAATTAACAACACCATATGGAAAATATAAGTTGAAACTCACAGCAGCGTACATGGAAAGCTTAGCAGCTTGTGCATAGTTCACGTATCGCATGAGATCTTCATAGGAGTCAAACTTTTGCCCACTCTCCGGACATGTGTAGTACTGCAATACCCAACCGTTTAAAATACCAGTCAACAAAAATCATCTTTATAGTACCTACTTTTCATCTAGGTTCCATTGTATCACAAACAATGTTACTACCACAGGTTCTCTTCGAATCACGTGCCTTCAAATAGTGAAAGAACAAGACGTTTTATTACAAGCAAGTTGAAGATCAAATAGTTATCTACTTACGGGGGTTAAAGGAGAGATACAGATGATGGTCAGACATGCCATAGTAAATGGAAGAAGCTAAAGAAAAAACGAAAAGAAAAAGACTTAAGTGAGGATGCATGAGGGTGCATGCAGTAGTATTCTGCAGAAACCTCATATCACAGAGCTCTAGTAATAGCTGCAAAAGGGGCATTAATTGTCACAATAAGTATAGGTACACTCTTGGAAGATCAGATCAGATCGGTCAGTTATATGGATAACCGATCTTGTCATGATGATAGCAACTAGCAAACATCAAAGACTTTCTCCACATAGTCACAGGGATTTACCTTCAAGGTTCAGAAATTTAGTTTAGACCCCAACTAAATATAAAGATCTTTTACCTAGAGATGATTGATAGCCAATTTCAAAAGAATATTTCACACCAGATAAGATCAATTTCTAGCATCTGATTTACATCCGGGACTTTGATTTTAAAATTTCATCAAGTGCATGCACTTACAAAGAATCAAAACTTTTTAAACCACCCTATCATAGTTCTTTCACTTTCTCGAAACAGAAAACTAAGGTTCATGTCTAGTAAATGCATGGGAAAATTTCATTCTTAATATTTCATATGAAGATGTGACATGCATACCTCACATAAAAGCACATGAGTTAACAGATTAGGAAATAAAATCAAGAAAGGAAAAATCAGATCGACTGATCAATCATCTCTAAAAACTGAAATATTATTAAGCATTCAACAAATTAATGCAGGTAAAACACTTGATTAATGGAGCTGATATGTATCAGACCTCTCTAGAGCCTAAATCTCATATAAATTGAAAAGAGATAAACAAACAACAATTAAATGCTCAATTACCGAAAGACTAGATCCATCCTTCTGTTTTTTGACAACCAACATCCAGCGATCAGGAATTGGCCCTGAGGAATCCTCGTCTGCCATAGGGAAAATGATGATCTCTTGAGAGTGCTTAAAAGAATTCCCCCTTGTTTCTGCCACCAGAGAAACAACTCAGACCCAGACTCTTTTTATAAGAAAGAGGCACTTAAAAGGCGATTCTCAGGAAGAATCAAAATACTTTTAAAGCCACGTGTTCCCGTTCTTTCCACGTGTTTTATGAATCAAAATCTGAAACGCGCCTGAATAAAAAAAATGAACAAGAACACCGTATTTGAATTTTTGTATATGGAACACAAAAGAAAATACAGCTTACTTAGCATGTTTGCTAAGATGACAGAAAAGTTCAACGGGATAATGACATACGGCGAAAACCAGTGGACCACTGAAATAACTGCCATCTTTACCTTTCAAAGGCAAATTGAGTATTCTGTCTACAAGTTTGGAAAAAACAGATGACTCTATTTACGGCCGTTACAAAATAGACGACAGATTATCCAGCCAGATAAGAAACATTATCAACCTAAGAGCAATTCAACAATAGAACAAGAGATATCATAACACACAAGAATAACCTGATCACAGCAGGCGACTTATGAAAAAGTCACACAGGGGATTATCAGATTTACAAGAGAAATCAAAGGCCTTGTTTGACACCAGAATTTCCAGGGCTCTTCCTAAGATAGATCAGTTAGTCCTCTATTTGAGTCCTCCTTAAAGCCTTTGGACTTTATTCTTTCCAATAACTTTTTGCTTTTCGGCATAAGCAGAATAATATAACCAGTTAACCACTGATAGAAAAAATTGAACTACCTATTAAGAAATGAACTGTTAAGTTTCAAACACTCACTGATTGATGCCATTTTGATCTACTAGACTTAAATTGATAAAAGCAGACATGGCAATCTACAAGCTATGGATCCAAAGAAAAAAATACCAGCATAAACATTTCTCATCCAAACTGAGAAACTAGTTCTATTATCACCATCAGAAATGCAATTCAAGAGAACAGAAAGGATACAAGCGTTTGCTTCAACTATTACACATGTCCAAAAACACATAATGCAAAGTGACCTTCTCAAAATCACAACAGATTACATCATTGTACCTATAATAGCTCATAAGAAATATGGCTGTAAATAGACTTATTTAATTTTGCTTTTAAAGTACAAATTGTTACTACTGCAGCTAGAAAAGGAAGCAAAGATTAGAGGATCCCAACAAATCCTTTAACTTTTAACATCATCATTATCAACAAGAACAATAATAAAACTCATCTCAAATAAAACTAGTAACAACCATAAATAAACTTCAATAAGAAGGTAATAATTAATAGAAGAACCAAGTTAGTGATATATGAATGTGTGGCTGTGAACATTAATAATAGTAATAATGACAAACATATTTCCTTAGGACAATGTTTTCTAGGAAATATATGGAAATCAAAAGTAATTGGAAACAATATGCAAAAGAGGGTGAAAAAAAACCCTGTATTTTCATTTCCTCTGTTTCCATATGCAACTGGGCAGGACTTAATGAGAAAAAGAATGAAAGGAACATTTAAGGAAGCCAAAAGCACCGCACCACATTATTCTTGTTCATCAAAAGACGGAATATCATGTTGCCTTATGTTATTCATTGATGAATGGCATGCCATCGTAATGAAAACTGTTAATTGTTTTTCCTGGTGTTTCTTTGGTTGAAAAAAAAACACTTTTCTTTTGTTTTTCCTTTATATGTTTTGGAATTGAACTTAAAGTTCAATCCACACTTAAACATGGTTAGTGCTACCCAAGAGCTAATAAGATTCTTGAAAGGGCTTATTGCAATACAGAACTTTGTGAAATAACTCCCAGAAACTCCCATGACATTGGTGATAATTGTCACATTCCATGCTTTACTAGCAAGAATGATGTCTCTCAAGAGTTCATTTTGAGTAATAGAATTTTATTCTTGTTTGGCAAACAAAGCTAGAAAAAGACAAGGCATCATATATTACGATCACAGAAGTAGCTATCATAAGTCTTAAAGTTTACAAGAAAAACACCAAAGGGCCTACGAAAGAAAAATGTTTGGAAGTTCAATATGTTAGAAACACAAACAACCTATTTAATAGGAAAGAGGTCCACGATGAGTGCAACAGCAGCTGTTTCCACGTCAACCATAGCAACTGCATCGGTATTTTCCTTTCACAGGTGTCCATACAACACTCACCTAAATCTGAACCTGATAATCAGAAACACAAAGCTTCAGCCAAATAGAAGCAGAAAATAAGCAAATGTAGAAGAAATTGAAAGACACTAAGAAACTACAGAGTATTAAGCTAGCCATCTAGTAAAGGATTGAATAAGGACAATGTCGATTACATAACTAAAAAATATAATTGCTTTGAACATGCAATTGATAACATAAGATATTCTGCTGAAATGAACATGCAAATGATAACATTAGATCCTCAAGTCACGCCCTACCAACTGTTTTACAGGTTAGAAGCAAAATGAACATGCATTTCAAATTATCTAATTTAAAACATATCTTAAGATGGGAAGAACAACTTCAAATAGGTTTCAAAGAAGTATATAATTTCAGTTAGCAACAAGAGTGTGCAATAATAAGGCTTCATATGATTTGGTAAACACAAATACCATATTGCCTAATATCCTTATCCAATATATTGTAACCTTCCCCACACCCGCAGGGGCTTTTTACTGGACCTTTTTATCCAGGTAACAGTTTTTCCATTATGTTCTCAAACATTAAACCACAAAAGTCGAATAAACCCTCGTGAATGTTGATAAGGCGCTACACTAGAACCTTTCACAGTTAATACAATTGCTTTCATAGCCGTGAAGCCCATTTATCATGATTAGAAATAAATTACATGTCTAATGCTATAACAATTCAGCCAACGAAAACAATAACATAAATGGACTGAACCAATTAAGAAAAATCATCAAAACCCATTTCAGATAATCAACTAAAGTAGGATTATGTACCTGAATTTAAGCTTTCGAAATGTCAAGAACACTGCTTTCCTGCAATGACTATTGGAGCTTCAAAAGCACCATCAACCATATTCAACAAAGGTAAGTTACCTATAGGAATCAAAGTCTCCAGTGCAAAACTGGAAAGGGGAAGGAGGGATTAATATGGAAGGGTTTAAGGAAGAAAAGAGTCCCGATAGAAGGCATGTTTGCATTGTTGGAAGAGAGGCAAAAAACGTGAGGATCATCACTTAAAAAGGGGAGGTTTAAGTTCTGTTCTTGAATTTTCAAATGATATAATCACACCCAGAAAGAGAGAGCAAAAGCTGATGGGTTTGTACTTGGAATGAGAGTGAAGTTGGCACCGGCAAAACCAGAAAAAATAAGGATGAAGCCATTACGGAATCAATTCTTCCTTCTCAAGGTACGGGGTCAGTCATCGGTGCAGATGGGAACCATATCCTTCGTGTCGGTTGTATAAAGTATACCGCTATCTATATTAAAGGAAGAAAAAAATATTAAAATTTGGTACAAGTCCCGGTCATTTTTTATATTTTTTATAAACATAATTTTTTTTCCGTAAGATTATCAGTGGGAATAAAAGATTATCAGGGAATAAGATTACTAGGAATGTTGTATTTTGTGTTTGGTTGGTTTAGCAAGAATGTAAGATTACCGTGTTTGGTTAAAAGAATAAAAGATTATTGAAATATATATTTGACCAAATTATCCTTATTATATATTTGTATAATATTACAAATTATAAAATATTTATATATTTTCTTTAAAAAATTAAATTCATAATATTTATATAACTTTTTTTTACAAAATTAAAAATATAAAAAAGGTTTAATGAAAGGAAAAAAATTAACCCCTGACCTTCATATAAAATTTTAATTATAGATTTTTTTTATAAATTTAAAATAATTTAAGGATAAATTTGTAATTTAACCTTCGTAAAATTTTTATTATTCAATGACAGAATAAGGATATTTTTGAAAAAAAATAAAAATTTAAGGGCATTTTAGTCCAAAACGCCAGTAATGTTACAATATCTAAGGGAAAGGAGGTAATGACATTCCCGGTAATATACCTCAAAAAATCTACTATTGGTAATACAACATTACCGGGAATGAGATTCCCGGCCAACCAAACATTAGAATGTGGGATTTCCATCCCATGGGAATCCCACAATCCTTGAACCAAACACCCCCTTAAGGTAGGATTCCGGGCTCCCTAAAACTTTTAGGATAAATTACGTATTTAATATTTAAATTATCAGTTTTAATTCATTTTAGTATCTAAATTTTTTAATTTTTTTCAAAATTATACCTAGTGTTTAGTTTTTATTTCATTTTAGTACCTTGCCGTTAAAAACTTAACGGGTGATTAATTTAGTTATTAAACACATAATTTACCTAATTTTTTTATATTTGATAAATTTTGGTCTAATATTATTTTGGTTCATGTAAAAATAAGTATTCAAATTAAAAATACAATAATTTATTATATATTTAATTAAGTATGGACCGAACTAAAGAAGAATAATCCTATGTTCTCAATTTTTCGGTCTATTAATAATATAGGTCATTGGAAGTTTAAATATTAGACAAATTATGTATTATCTTATGAATTTTGAGTTTAAATACCTAATAAGCTATTGTATTTTTCTTAAAAAGTCCAATATTTCAACCCTTGTCAATATTTAATCCTAGTTTCGTCCCTGCTTTATGGTGACACGTTATCATTCATTTTTTAACAATGAGTGTTCATATAAAACTAAAACGTAACAGTAGGTATGATTTTAAAACAAAAAAGATTTGGATGATCAAAATGAAACAAAAATAATAGTTGGATACTATACTTGTAGTTTACCCTTAATTATAAAATATGACTTTAATGGGCTCATTTGCGAAAAGACTAAAAGTTCGTGGATAACTTGTGAAAAAGTACCAAAGCCCATTTCACAATATGACTGTCTCAATCTGCGAACATCAGGGAAGCGTTAACTGAACAGCGATCGTGAACTTCAATTTCTCTCAGGTACTCGTGAATATTATTTAGTTCATAAATTCCATTGTTTTTTTACATTTTCAATTTTCGTCTGATCTGATAACTTTGATGGTCTGATTTGTAAAAGAGTCAATCTGATCCGTCGAGTAAATAAGCAAAGATGGGAGGAGGAGAACATGGAGGGCATGGACATGGAGCAGAGGATTTCAGGGCTAAGGTGTGGAGCATGTCGGGTGGCCCTTATTGCCGACCCAAACACTGGCGTCGCAACACTGCAATTGCCATGTTCGGCGTTTTTCTCATCTGTATCCCCATCGCCATGAAATCCGCCGAGCTCGAGGTTCCTAAACCCCTGCCTTTTCTCACATTATGCTATTCAGAACGTCTTTTACCCTAATTGTATGAATTGCTGAGTCCAGGTTTAATCCTTTGAGAATCTAAATAATTGGAACCTTTATTAAATGTTTAGTGCTAATATCTCTGTTATGAATATGCTGGATCCTAATGCAAATCTTATCACAATTATCAGTTCTGGTAGAATCTGAATACAGATAATTTAAAATTATAATAGAAGTTATTGGTAGAGTGAGGCCTTAATTAGTAGGGTTTTAGTTTGTTTTGATAAATATGTAGGTTGAAGCTTGAAAATTGTATACAAAAAACAAATAGAACTGATCATTCAGACATTTAGCCGAATGTTAACTAGGTGTATATCACTGTCCTCTAATTGTTCTTTCTTAAATTGTATTCGAAAAACAAATTCATTTCTTTGGGAGGTTTTCGATGAATAAACAAAGTTTTGAAGTTCATAAAAATTGCTGTAAGTTCCATTATACCCCATCCATGTTGTGCAAAGATTTGCTTTTCGTAGTAGCTTCTGGCTGTGCACTTATTCCCGAATCCTTATTACTCCTATTGGCAATAATTACCAGTTTAGGTAATAACATAAGATTGCAGCTTCTTCTTATCACATCTCATCAACTTTATGTTAACTTCCTCCATGGCATTTATTCCCTAATCTTCTACTGGCCATACATCAATGCTATAAGGTCAACTGTACATATGTCTCCCTTCAAAGATGGTCATTTTTGCATTCACTAAAGCTATGTTTGGTTATTTAAGTATTAACACAGAGAATAGCTTGATTATTACTTGAGTTTTAAAATAGTTTGTCATTACATAAAGAAGAAATAGTACAAATCTAAACTTGAAATTAGAAAGATGAGTAAAAACTCAAAGTAAAAAATATTACCTATTCAAAATAAGCAATATTTATACATTCTCTTTGTTAAAATTAAGTCATGTGAGTGGTTAAAAATGATAAAGTGAAGTTAGTTTATTGCTAGCTCATTTCCTAATCATGAGGAAAAGAAAACGTAGAATAAATGTTACATTGTCACTTCAACCAATTGACAGTATGCATTTTTTTAGTTTATTGTTAGTTTATTGAAGCCGGTATGCAATTTTTTATTGTTTTTATATGCACTTCTTATCTCCTTAGGTAGCTGCAACCCATCAAAGCTGTGCAATCTAATATCTGCTAGCTTTGGACTTAATCCTTATTGAATACCAGTCTAATTTCTTGTCAATTCACTTAATCCTGATTGAATACCAGTCTTTCAATGTTACTGATTTTTGTAATAATTTACAGTTTGGCTTCTATTTTCTCATCTTGTAAATTCGAAGTCGGCTTCCTCCTGGCTTCATGGGATTCACTTCCTAATCTTTTACGGCAATATGCTAATGTTAGAAGGTCAACAATGTATATGCCTTCCTTCCTAGACTGTGGATTCATCATTCACTTATTCCGAAAAAAAATAAAGATTTCCTAATGTTTTGATCACTAGAGGTAAAATGTTTTCTATTGTTTAACTATTTTTCAAATACCAACATTTTTAATACTAAAATACTATATTAATATTTGAATATTTTTAAAAAATCTATTTAAAAATTTATTATTTGATATAATAATATTTGGAATGATCCAAGTTGATTTTCGATGTAAAAAATCATATTTCTTATGCGGAGTTATTCTCCAGAAAATGACTTAACCTTTTGAAAAGGAGGAGTCAATTTACGAAAAAAATAGCTTATTTTTGTTGAACTGTAAGTTATTTCCCATTGACTAAGCTATTTTCTATGAAACTAAACATGTTTTGGAAGTCATTTTCAGTGAAACAGATATACCTTAATGTAAACATTGTCAGTTCATCAAATGATTGAAGTCAATATTCACATTTTTAATGCTTTATATGCATTTCTTATCTCCTTAAGCACCTGCAATTTAAACTGATTGAACTTACATATTGGAAACGGATTGTTGCTTAGTGTTGCCAAGGCATGCGCCTAGTCACATCAGTGCTTTAGGTTATTCAACAAAGGCGCTTCACACCCTTTCAGGCAGGTCCATTTGATTAGGTGTTTGCTAGGCATGCTTTTCCCTTTTAAGGCCATAAGCATGAAAAAGCCAGTCTAATTGAATTTCTCTTTAATTTCTTTTATTTTTCATTTGATATACCTTGTAAGAAAAGGATAATATCAAACTCTATACCTTTTTTACGCCTTGCGCCTGAGGCAGTATAATGGTATAAGCGCCCAGAGTGCACCTTGCGCCCTTGACAACATTGTTGTTGCTTATCTAATTCCAAGTTACTCGATAATGGAATCTAGATGTACATGGCCATGATTTGTTTCATAACTTTGTGACTAAATCTATTAACTTTAAAAACTTGTACATCTTCATTTATCAGCTAGCTTCAATTAGAATGATATTTTTAGCTAAAAGGTTATTTCTTGCAGCAACGGCCTCATCAGCCTGTTCGTCCAATTCCTTCACAGCTTTGGTGCAAGAACTTTGGAAACAAAGACTATTAAGTCCACCCGCGCTCCTGTTGATGAAGTATAAATGGTGGTTCAAACCATCATATGGGTGGCAGTTTAGCAAACTTGCAATTCTTTATTGCACTGGATTTGGTAACATTTTCTGTGATTTGAATTTGAGACTGTGGTTTAGCTTTCTATATGATCAATAAGTTGTGCCTGTTACTTTCACTGTGATCTCCAGAAAATCTTGAAACTGCCTTTTGTAAGTCCATCTTTCTGGTTATTGGATTCTAAAAACACGCTTTCTCGGCACTTTTTAAGCACAATGCTAAATTAGCCCAAAAGCACAATGCTAAATTAGCTCAAAAGCACAATGCTGAACTGATAGAGGGGCTGTTTTTTTCTGGCATAATGCCAAAAAAATGCCCGTTTGACTAAATAGTCATTCTGGTTACTATTCTTGTTTTTAGCATTTTGGTCTCAATGTTTCATTTTAGAATAAAAATACCCCTAATATTTGATTAAGTAGTCATTTTAGCTCTTATTCTTCTCCTGTAACATTTTGGCCACAATGTTTCATTTTAAGGTAAAATGATTCCTATTTTGGAGCGTTGA